GGAAGACAAGCGTTGAAATGTTGGAAAGGCAAAGTTAGCTTCCATTTCAAGATGTGACTGACTGCTTGCAAATGTCTGAATTTATCTTTAGGCCCATGTAAAAATAAGAGAATGTTATTCTGTGATGCTACTGCTTGCTTTTGTATTTTCCGTAAAATTACAAGTACAGTTGCATTTTAAAATTGTACAAAGCAACATTACTGAATTGAAGGTAGAGTATTTGAGATAGCTGACCTCACCCGGATATGTAATTCAGAAACACTATTTTTCTATCTTTATTCCCCTGTGAGAATTTTGCATATACATGCTTGTCCTCTGGTTTTCCACTATCCAGTGACCATCATGAATTCTCTACAAAAATGCACTTACCTTTCTTGTAGATATGAACCAGTCAGTTATTCTGTAGCCAATTTATAATTTCTTTTTATAAGAAATGTATTTGTTTATTAATCAGCTACATTTTAGCATGTTTTGAAACCTCTTTTCAAAGAGAAACCATACAAAGGCAAAAGTCAGGTTTTTAGTAAAACATCGCAACTGGTTTCTCAAAGCGATAGTTAAGAAAAAAATCAGTTTTAGTGAGGGGAAAAAACTGCTTATAGGAGAGCCCTTTAACTGGAGATCCACGTGATAACAAGGTTTAACGTTGGGCAGCTGGTGCCTACACTTCAGTTTGGAGACAATGCAAAATTTGAGCAGCAAGTACAATCAAACATTGAAACACAACTCCAGGAATTTATTAATACTCTGGAGTATTATCAAAGACAGATGGTTTTATAAAGATGAACTACGAATAGTAAAGTCATGGTCAGACATACCAGGAGATTTTATCTAGACCAAAACACAGGATTATATTAGAATTGTCTTGTTGACTGAAAGATCTATATCGTATAAATAACAATTACTACGCTCCAAATAAAGCAAGCAATGACATTTAACATTGCAACAGCACTCTGCCTGAGGACTGCAATGCTGTAGGCACTGTTCACAGAGCAACATATGGACAGAAGATGATGGTTCCAGGACTTAAAAATACCTCATCTAAAATTAACTAGTAGCTTTTGTTGCAACCTACATTCAGTGAAATAAATAAGATGTAACTTATTTGGAACAGAGTGATGTCCACTTCATCAAGAGAGCAATGGATAAGACAGGAGAAGAAACAAGTGCTATGATGATCAAGATAAATGAACTAAAGCTTGTCAATGAGAGATCAGACCAGGAGTTAAAAAAAGCCAAAGCCATTAAGCAGGTACAGTATTATTTTGCAGCTTTACTAATACAGCCCATTTGTTTGTTTTTAAAACACGTCAACTCATGACTTGATCTAAAGGCTGTTGCCTACAGTGCTACATCATGATATCCATAAGAACCCTCTGCATAGTTTCTTGACTTACACCTTCCTTCGTAAACTCTGACATACTTTTTATCACTATTCTCTTACTAGGCAGTGTTATGTCTCTTCTGTAGACAGCAGTTTGGGTTATCAATTTGATCACACATTACTTATACCACACTATCCACCTGGTCAGTGGTTTTTGGGGTTTTGTTTTGTTTTTCTGAGAAACAATTGCCTTTAAAATAGAAAATGTACTGTTCAAGGACATCTTTATGTAGCACTCAATTTTTATTCTTAATCTGCGATGCCAACCAATAAATTTGGCTCATTTTTGTTACTAAATTGCGAGATTTTTCCTGCAGACTGTTTGGGTCTATCTATATTCCAGTTTAAAGAACTAGAGGTAAAACGGAAGTCCTTCTCCCCATATTTTGATAAACAAAAAAACCCCAGTTCCAAATCCTCTAATTACTGCACGTTTTTTCCTGCAATAAGCTCCAGCCTTTGTAAAGGAAGCACTGAGGCCGTAGAATAACACAGGGTCTAAGCTGCAGGGGGAAGAGTTTTGCTGTCGACTTAACTGGTGCACTTGCTCCTCAGTGAAAACTCCCTAACCTGGAACTTTTCTTTGGGGATGAAACTCAGGAGAGTAAAAGAAAGAAGCTGATGACATAAAAGAACTCAGAGAAGAACTGATACAGAGTCTGGGATCCATAGGAGATTTTTTTTTAATAATTCAAAGTGTTTGCATGCTAATGAAGTTCACCAATTGCTGCTTCTCAGGAGCTTTGGCATATATAAATTTGCTCGTGTAACAACATGACTTGTAGACTTGCAGAAGCTAGAACATATTCCAAGACAGTTATAATGGTTCAAGCCAGATATTAGCTGCTCCAGGAAGTTCAGGTCCACTTATTTTCTTTGAAATCACCTTTATAGTCTTACCATTCGTAATGCTAACTGAAAGGAAGTTGTAGATGGAAAATTCTAGCAACCCATAACTCGGTCTGAATTAGAAAGTCTGATGAATTTGCATAAAACCATTCAGGAAACAATCTACCCATATCACAGTCACCCTGTAAACTGTTAACAAATAAGAAATTGAGAACATTTTTAAATACAAAGCAAAATGAGTCTTACAGTTGTATATATAAAAGATAAAAATAACGGATGCTTTATAAAAAAATCATTAACGTATTAACTGTTATAAATATCTGAATTAAAAATAATACTTTCTTATTTTGAGACCTTTTTGGCATTTCTTAGGAGATGATGGTCAAAGATAATTTCTTAAAACTAGAATTGAACCGTCTTCAAGATACTCTGTGCAATAAGACAGAGAAAGTTCTAACACTGGAAAAACAAAAATTGGAGTTAAAGAAAGCCATAGCAGAAAGAACTGAGGAAATTAAGGTTCATAAGGCAATGCTAGATTCCCAGATAAGACTTGTGGATCAGGAACGGCAACGCATAAGGTAACTGTTCTTATGAAAATCAACCTTGTACCTTTTTTTGAGTATCTTGTACATGGAGACTTACTGAGAAAGAGAAGCATTTTACCCAATTTCACCAACTGGAGATACTGAGGATGAAATCACTTGCTCAGTTATATACTGAGACAGCTGAGGCTAGCAAGAGATCCCTTCTCTGAAATCCAGCCTACAGCTTTAACCACTTCGTGAACAAGACATTACTGCTTATTCTGTTAGTGATGATCCTCTACAGTACTGAGGGGAAACCTCAGCTGCAGACATCTTTTTAGAGTAAATGTCACATGTGTGACCCTGCATTTTTCAAAATAATCAGGAAATGTGAATTAACTGTGTTTCAAGCTACAACAAAGTATTTGAAACAGAAAAATTGCTTTTAAAGAGGGTTCACTCCCAACTACTTGATAAAACTGTGGTTTCTTTGACTCATACAGTAAGTCTATTTGTTTTTGGTTTTTTTTTCCTTTTTAACAACTGGGATTTCCATTGTGTGTCCTATGTAACAAATAAATCTTCTGAATTATGAATGTACCCTCTTATAAAGCAACCACATATGAAGTAACTTTTCCCTTTTGTAATAATCAGTGCAAACTATCTGGGACAGTTTTAGCTCTGAAATCTCAGTGTCTATATCCAGCCAAAAATCAATGCTTCAGCAGCTGAACTGCTGAAATCTGGCAGGCTTTTTATTCACTCCTCTGCTAACCACACCCCACGCAACAGGAAATTAGTGTGATTTAGTGTGACTGAAGCTTAACTGCTCACCGAGAGTGCAGACTGTGTGGCTTTTTTCCTTTGATAATTACACAGCTAATTGATACTTCCATGTAATTTGATTTGGGGTTGTTGCCTACTGTTGCTTACGCTCCTCTAGTAGTGGCAATATTAAGATAATATCAGCAGGGGGCAGCTTGTGCAGCTGTAGCATTTAAATGCCAAACTTTAAAAAATTTTTGGGGAGGACTGTGACACAGCCTCCCAGGATGCAGTGAGCTGGAATATGAAAATAAATTATACTCTGTTTAGAACTGCAAGAGAAGCGTAGGTAACCAGAAAAATGCACGTCTGTGGCTGGGAGAACACAGAAAGCAACAAAAACCAGTAGCAGCACAACTGCTGCCCTGCCTGCCTCCTTGTACGTGGGCAGGCTGCTGGTAATTGAAGCTGCTATAGCAAGAACTGCCCACAAAACACTACCAGACAAACACCTTCTCAACCCATTTATTTTTTTCCCCAAAATAAATCAGTGCTGAATTGCAAGACCGCCTAAATAAAATTGATAAACTGAGATGCAGATATGAAATTCTTACTGTTGCCATGATGCCACCTGAAGGAGAAGAGGAGAAAACTCAGACCTACTATGTAATTAAGGTATTTTAGTAACATAATTCCTTGTATTTCAACTATTTAAGCAATAGCTTTCCCTGGGTTCTATTCAAGTAACTAAGACAACCTCCTTACCTACTGCTTACTTTCAGTCTAATTATTTCACAACTGGATACTGCTAATCAGGAGTTTGTGGGCTTAGAGATGGGAAGGCAGATACCTATAATGAACTGCACATTGACAAAATACCTCAAAGAACTTCCAATACTGCAAGTAACTGCTCCTTTCAGTTACCTAGTACCTCAAATCTCAGTTCAAGCCTGACAACACAGATAAGCCCCATATCTACCTAGGATTTTAACCCCTAAATATTGCAGATATTTTTTTCTGTGTAATTGTCCTAATATTTTCAGTATGCATGCAGTCACCTAAAGTATCAGCTTTACTTTCAGGCTGCGCAAGAAAAGGAAGCACTTCAACGTGAACGTGATGATTTAGATGCAAAGATCTGCAAAGCTGAAAAAGAAACTGTAGCTCTGGAAAACACTTTGTGCATACTTAACAACTGCAACAGCAATTACCGAAACTCTTTCAAGGAAGTCACCGAGACAAGTATGTAAAATAGAAATTGCTATTCGCTGTATGACTTACAGGTATATAGTGGGGAAGTTCCATGGCACAAAAGAATGAATAACAGAGAGAGACTAAACTGATAGTAGCAACAGGGAGTGTAATTTGCATGCTACTGTGAAATAGTTCAGCAGCATAAGCACCGAAGAAAGTGCAGTGAGGCATAATTAACTAATGTTTATGTTCTTCCATCTGATTTATGTGAAAATCTCTAAATTTTGTGAATAGTCATAAGTAGGAACAGTCAGAAGAGGCAAAGCATAATTTCTAAGGAAAAAAAAAGTCATTACTGAGAGGAAAGGAGCACCCACTGAAGTACACAAGTCTAGTGGATAAAATTTTGCCCAGTAGAAAGAGGACTACGTTCTCTGTAGTGCTGCATCACACATAGCTACTAATTCAAATTACAGAAGCAGAACAAGCTGTGCCGCTGCTGGCCTTAGGGTAGAGCCAGCTTGGGCACAAACCTGTACCCAGAGCAACTATGCAGGCAGCTTAGGTATGCGTGATGGAGAACCATCCCTTAGCTATGCCATCACTACCTCCCATTTTCACATGGGGCGGGGAAGTAGTAACCCATCATCTGGGGACATGATGAGGAAAAGTTAAACGGCACTATTTTAGTGTCTTATCAGCAGATTTTAAAGTATGGACTACCTTACTACAAGTTTTTGGATATTGGAAATTCCTCAGAATTCTGGAAAATACCTTCATCTGTTGTTTCTGTTACCGCTTAGACTGCATAAGCTTCTTCTCCTTCAGTGGACCTTCTTACTTTAGCTTATAAAAAGCAGCATCACCATGAGAAATTACATCAACTTAATTCCAGAAAAAATATTCAATTATTTAACTTTTGTGCCCTCTGCTGGCTCTGGAAACAGTAGCTCTTAAATCCTTCTCTCTAATGATGCCATTTACTTTTTCACAGTGATTTGGAATTAGTAGTAGTGTATTTAAAAAAAAAAACAAAAAAACACACAACCTTAAACCTTGAGGTCTCTGTAATACTCCCAGCACTGACATAGTAATACTCTGTGCTGCAGTTACTTTAAAGTGCAACTTATTTTGAAGTAAAAACTGAGTTGTATACATTGCTTGTCCAGCATTAATGCTGCCTGATTGTTTTGGATCACAGGTGAGGAGTATGAGGAAAAACTGAAACTAGAGGAGGAAAAAAGGGCTGCTGATGAAAAATACAGACACAAACAAAGACAGATCAAGGAACTTCAGGAAGATCTCCAGGTAAAATACAAGCAAGTCAAGGCTGCAGCATGTAGCTAAATTCATACAAACCATTCTATTGAAAGCATAGGAAACCCTGGGACAAATTTTTGCCTGTTCTTTTCTATCCTGTGCTTTGTATGAATGGATACAATTTTTTAGATGGCTCTACCTCTCCTTTCAAAAATTGAGCGCTTATTTGGATTTTCGTGAATCACAATGAAACTTCAGGCTTTTCAGTCACATACAGCTAGAAGTTTCTGAATCCCAGATACACGCTGACAGATGCTCCGTTCTAGCATCCAAGAAAGCAGCTGTATTTTTGTGTAGCATACACTATTATATTGTATCATCCTGGCCAGTATTGCAGAGATTAAAATCCACACATCTGGTGTACCCTGGCATCTAGGTCTTGGGCTTCTTCTAGGAGAATGTGTTCTGTTTTATTAGAAGGCTAGCTGACTCTTAACTTACTGCTCAGCCTGCTAAGTGCAGGTGGAGGCTAGCCTGTGTTGAAGCTCCACATCAAGGACTTACTCTTGGTTCCCCTCGTTATCAAAAAACCCACTTGGCCCTTCAGAAAGAACAACACTTAACTCTGATGCGTGACATATTAGTTAAAATATTCTTAGGTAGCAGAAGCCAAAGGCACCCTCCTATATCGCACACAATTGTTCTAAGCCCTGAGTCACTGGATACAGGTCACAAGCATCCCTATTGCTTATTCTGTCACCACAGGACGTATACCTTACTTAAGAAGTAACATATCTGAAATTAAAGAGGCACTATCTTCATCATGGAGTAAGTCCTAGGATATAATGAGGTGTTAAAGCTTACCCCTTCCTACCTTTTTATTTTTAAAGAAACAGAGCCACACTTACAGAGCTGATTTTATTAATTCCAATCAAAAGTATCCATCTATCCCCACGAGAAACAGTGCTATTTTTCTTGGGATAATTTGCACTGGTAAGATAGGCACTGCAATAGTTGGTACTGTGCCAAGTAAATCCTTTTTAGACACTGCTACCAGACACATCTGAAAATACATACTTAAAACTTCATTAATAGTACCTTTAAAGTATTTTTTTTAAGATATGTAAATCACCTGGTGGTCTCTTTATCCAGGTAGGTATTCATCCACTAAACTGATAGGCAGAAAGTTGAGTTGTGTTATTGTTATTACTGATTGCTTGAACTACATTTAGAAGGAAGTAGTACCGCTAACAGACCCTTCCACAATGCAATACAAAAAAGTGAAAGGATATCAGAACTGCTTTATAAACTAAAACTCCTGTTCAAATGAATTTGCAGAACATGGAAAAAAATTTGGATACAGTACTGAAGCAGAAGGCCCTCCTCCAAGAGCAGAACAAGGAAAAACAAGCTCTTACTTTGCAGCTGAACAAAAACATAGACGAACAGAAGCCAAAACTAGAAAGGGTTATAAAACAGGTCTGTATGTTCATTAATGACAGCTTCTAACGTCACAGTGATAGACAGTAGTATGGTTAAAAGCATGGAACTTAAAATGTAGCAGGTTTCTGAAAAAGTGTTGCATTCTCATAATAGTAATGCTTTAAAAATATTTGTGTTAAAAGTGTTCCAGACTATCCAGAGAAATTCAGTCTCTGAAGAAAACTAAAACAAAAACACAGGAAGAAAGAGACATTGATCTTTGTGAATTGAAAAGCTTCAACAGAACCATCGACAAATGGTTAGCTGATATTCTAGAAGCAAATGCTGATTTAATTACACCCTTTCAAAAGTACTTTCATCAGGTGAGCTTTCCAGTTAACTGCCACTAAAATCATGATCGATAGCTGTAGTCTAATGATGAGTGTCTTTCAAGGGCAACTCCTAAACTATACTTATGGTAAAACAGGAAAAAGTGTTCATCCGCTTTCAACATCTCTTCAAATACAAAGGATTATAAACCCTCCTGCTATACCCAGTCCTATTATACAACCATTAGGTCAACTTTGTTTGTCTTTCCAAATTTTCTAGTACAATTTAGAGCTTCCTACAATTGCTTCTGCTGCTGGTAGCCAAAGTTCTCGATCACCATCCACACAAAGCTCACTAGCCTCTACCAGGTAAGTGCTACCAATGTTTTTTGGGGTTTGACATTTTCGGGTTTTTTTTGTGTTTTTTTTTTTTTTTTAAGTTAAAGCTTAAAACAGCAAAATTAGTCCCTAAATGACAGAATTCCTCACTCCTGAAAGTCTTCTCAATCTTCCTGAACACTATAAAAACTTTCTCCTTATACCCTCCACCCTTTACTAGATTTTTCTAGCACTCAACTAAGTTTACTTCAGCATCCATCACAGTTTAAAACCATAATTACAGATAATTACACTTACTTTTGCTAACTGTGCTCTAGTTAAAAAGTGGTTTTATGTTATAAAAGCATAAATTTGGGCTCCAGCCACATTTTGCACTTGATAGTGTGAGCTCCCTTTCCTATTAAATAGGGTAGACAGACGTGTATGCTTTTACTGACACCTTTTCCCCTTGTTCAACATGTATTAAACTAATAGTGCACATAACATGTTGAATCAGTTGCAATCTGACAACATTCCCACAGCTTACTTAAGCTATTAGTCGTAATGTCTACTAAGATCTTTGTAGGGGACCTTACCTAGAATAAACACTGCTGCCAGGGGGCTTCACTGTAAGCCACCATTAGCAGCAGCTCTATTTTACATGTAGGGAGTTCTGTATACTGATGAGTAAACTTTTGTTTTTCAGATCCTCTAGAAGCACAAGCTCAGGCTCTAGTCAGACTTCGGCGCTCAAAGTCATAGATCTGAGCTTGCCTATCAACACTCCTGCAGAAGCAGCTGCTGGGAGTTCACAGCCATCCAGCAGAGCTAGCACCTCTAATATTGGTAAAGGCAAAAAAAAGTCTTAAGTAATCTTTTGAAGGCCATGGTAAAGGCTTCACATTAGTTAAGGCTTCTTAATGGATTAATCTGTAACTTAACTTTAAGGTCTATTGGCAATCTTAGCATTAATTTCTATCAGAACCGTACGTTTCAACTTTCTTATACAGTATGCAATAAATTATCTAGGAGAAGTGTTAAGCGTGTCTTTTATATAATAAAATAAATTAACCTTTAAATTACTCTCTCATTTTGCTGTTGGAGAACTCAAGATCCACAAAACACTTCAGAAGCCATTAATTCATTTTGCTCATAATGATAAGGAGAGTTATGTTAAAGCCATTACTTTTAGTGAACTGGTATCTTCACTGCTGTCAAGACAGTTTTAGATTACAGTGCAACAACCCAGGAAAGACAATGTATGCTTCATTTCAAGATCAACCTTGACTATTAATCAAGTAGTCATCTCAGGTCATATCTTAATCAAAAGATGACAGTATATGATTGAAGTCAGTAAAACTGTACTTTTTCTATTCAAAATTACACAGTAGCTTTTTTGCAACCGACCTCTATCTATGGAATTACTTGGAAAACTTGCAGCTGAAGTACAATTGGCGTTGTATAGTGTGCCAGACGTTGGTTCCTTGGCGTATCCTGCCAACCATCTTTGGAGATCTCACTGTAAATAGAGTGTAACTTTTTCCATAGCAATACAAACACTGCCTTCAAGCTGCTTGTGAAGCAAATACCTAACAACAAAAAAAACCTCAAACAAAAACCAAAGGCCCAAGCTTGAACTTACCAAGACAATAAACACAGTTTTAAAACTCTCTCTTCCTCCACTTCCGTTGGTTTTTTTTTCACATTACTTAGAGAACGTTTGATGCATTTAAAGAATGTAATACACTTGCCTTCATAGATACTGGAGGGTTCTATCCTGCAGCATATATAACCAGTGCACCAGTATGAAACATCCCAGTGACATTGACAAAATCCAAGACACAAAATTAAGAAAAATTAGGAAAATTTAATGATCAAATGAGCTATATACATTGATGGCACATGACTTTCATTCAGTTACTCCCCTTCTGTATCTGGAAGGTAAGTTTCATACAAAAATAACAGTCAATAGTACCCCTAGGGATGAAAAAAAAAAACCCACAAACAAAAATGTCTGTTAAAGTGCATATTTGATGTAAGTTCCACAACTACCTACGGTCCAGGGGTATCAAAGGATTTCAACCCATCAGACAGGGAATAGTGTACAGGAACAGCCCAAGTTAAGAGCACAGGAAACTTAGAATTTAAATAACAACTGGTATTTTACGCCAGATACCGTTGCACCTCTTTCCACTATACAATCTTTAAGAATTCTCTGACATTCCGCAAGACAGAACAAATTCTGCCTTTCTACCACTCTTCTTATGCATTTCCTCAAGAGAGATAAAAGTTCATTTAACTGCACTCGTCAGAACAGCATTTTTGTAGGTACTTTACTGTTTCTTCTGCATACTTCCTTTTTCCCTCTCAAACTCAGCTATTTGATTGAAGATGTTAACTAAGTTCTGGGGCAGGTTTCTTTTACTGCCGCTTTCTGTTTGTGCTGTCCCATTTAAAGACGCTTCCTCATCTGGTTCCTCTGTCTTATTAGTCTCCTCATAACTTCTTTTCCTAGTCTTATACTCACTTTCACTTTTATGCTGACTTAACACATGCCTATCACTATCATAACTTTTATTGCCTTCCCGTACACAGGTGCTAGAATACCATCTGTACTTTCCCACTGACCTGCCAGAATAGTCAGACCCTGCTGGAGACATATAATACCTGTCTTGGCCTGAGCCATGTTTTTTAAACTGCTCTCTTCTCCCCTCTATGTCCCTTTCTACTTTCCTAAAATAATGCATCCTGGGTTTATCATCTGACTTACGATATGAACCTGAAGAGCCTCTCCAACTGGAGAAAAATCTATCTGTTTTACCATATTTTTCAGTTTTGCTACTACTTGGCAGAGTTCTGGAGCTACTGTAAGAATCTCTTGAATCTTCAGACCTACCTCCAAAAGTGTCTTCATCCTCACCTGAAGTCCTCGAAAAAGAACAGTGTCTGTCTTTCTCTCTTACTTCTGTTTTTGGACACACTACGCTGTCCTGCCTTTCCAGCAGTTTTTCCACTTCAAAATTTTGGTTAAGAAAGGAAGCAGAGGTATCAGCCGGAGGCGAATACCACTCCTCTTCCCTACTCTGATCTTTATAATGGGAAGGCGCTCTAGATGAGCGCTTTTTGGAGCTGTGGGCAGACTCGGATCTATTCCGACGCTTTTTCCTACGTTTCTTGTGACAAGAGGAAGAGGAGGAAGAAGAAATTGATACATCTGATGAAGAATCACTTGATGATGATGACGAGGAAGAGGAGGAGGACGTTGATACTTTCCTTTTCTTCTTCAACCTAAAAAATGTAATTAACCTGTTACATAATCTTCAGTATCAGGCAAAAATAATAAACAGAAAGCAAATCTATACTCCCCAGAGTGTGGCTGAGATTAGACTGTAAGGCATGAATGGAAACTGAGCCTGACCTGGCAAGACAATTTCAAATATCATTTCTGTATCAAAAAATTAAGATTAAATACATCAGTTTGTCATAAAAGGCATCTTTTCCAGTTTAATATGGCATTACACTTTGCAAATACTTCACATTGCAAAGTATTTCTCAAGTAACTTCTGTTCCATATATCTCCATTAAAAGTTATATGCCGTTAAGGACACTACCCACAAAGAAATTCTGGAGGAAAAGCAGCTTACCTAGGTAGAAGTTCTACCTAGCTTACCGTTGGGCAATCTGTTTGGAAATGGATTGTTCATAGTCTTATCTGCTCTTATTGCCACATAATCAGCATACTGAATATAACAATTACCTTTTTTCTTCTTTTAAGAGCTTACGCAATTTTTCTGCACTTGTTTCTACTTTCTTTTCTTTCTGTCTCTCTTCTTTGGCAGCTTGTTTCTCCCTCATTTCCAAAGATTTCTTTTTTGAACCCAAGCATCATAAAAAGAATTACATTGAAAGTAAGTGTTAACACAGGTATTTTTCCCCATGTCCCCAACCCCATTCAAATGTATAATTACACCAGGGATGTTTCACCAGGTTCCCAGATCAAGAATTAATATTTTTCAGGAGTTTGGCATTGGCCATTGTGATAATCAGGTTTACATTAAGGACCATATTGCAGTTTTTATTCCATCAAAAAATGTATGTGACCAGCCATTGCAGTGGTACCCGTGATCCAGCACACCGTGAAGCATGAAGCCCAAAAGGTATAGATATCATATGCAAGAAAACCAGTATTAGCAACACGGAGAAGGAAAAAAAGGGAGAAAAAATAAAAGAAAAAGTTTGAGGGAAAGTATCATTATTGTAGTTCACACGTAAAACATGGCAGAACCCATTTGAAAATGTATTCAAGTTGGCCATGTTTGAATACAAACCGTTTTGTACCCATTTCACAGACCAGTTTGACGCATAGTTTACGTAACAAATCATGTTCCAAGGGTTTGTTGGTGATGAGCAGCACCAGATGTCAGATACAGCAACAACGGTCCAATTCGGAAGAAAGTGCATTGGAGAAAAACACATCATCAGTATTACAGGAAAACACAGTTCAGTCTTGTTTCAGCCATTCTAGCACAACAGCGGCAGTATCAGACTTATGTATTAAAACACACGTAAAGCAGAAAGCAGAAGAGCATCTCATCAGATGAACAATCCTTAAACTCCTTAAGGCTATTAGAGATCAGACTTGCACCATCTACAGCCCTAAAGAGTAGCGCTATTCATATTCAGAGCGAGCAGAAAGTCTGATGATGGTTTTCAAAAAATTTGCAACTGTCTTAAAGATACAATAAAGGAAACTCTTCATTGCAGTTAAGCCTATGCAAACCAACAAGCAATAGCTAGCATTGCGGTTTTTTATCTGCTACATCACTGACCCATTACACCAGGAAAACACTAAAGCAGAGCAAAATTTATCTCCTGCTTGCTGAGAATATTCTTCAGCATTTTAAGTGAGACTGACACAGCAGACAAATGTGGATAGTGCTCAAATACCATACAATAGTTTATCTATGATGTAGTTCAGTTTTATTAAACAGATTGTCCTATCTCCTCTTCCCCCTTCTTTCAAAACAACCTGTCAGCATTATGGCTCCACCAACTGAAGAAGTGTTGATTAAGGCCATCTACCCCAGTCTATGCACTTCCTTACATGCAGAAGCATAGAACAAAACAAGAATGTTCCCCAGTGCTCTGTTTTACTCTTTGATCCTCTCTGGAAGACACCACAATTAAAGGAGGTAAATAGAAGAAAAAAGACAACAACTCAGATTAGCATAGAGACCTGCCAGGGCTCACCTGGGAAATACGCTGTGTGCAAGAGAAGAGAGGAAAAAAAAAGAGACAGCAGAGAAGAAAGCTACGATATTAAAAACTGCCTGCACAACCACCCTCCACTTCCTGCTCTTTTCCTCTCAATTATCTCTTAATTTCCCCTCTCATGTGATCTTCCCATGAGTTAGCTTTGGCTGCTGGTACTCTACCTTTCCATAATTACTGCAAATGACAAGGATCTGGCCAGTACAATGGTGTGCAATGTTTATTTGACTTGCCTAAGTATTTTACACTTTGCATGTTTATATTCACAGAATGTTATAAATTAACATTATTAATCATGCTTGTGTGATGGAATATTCTTATGCTTGCTTTAGCTGACAGAGTTAGCAGGCTTGGCTCTTT